CCAAATGCCACATGTGTGTGGTCTGTGACAACCAGCATCTTGACAACTGAAATCACCTACTCTGGTCCTTGGTAACAGACAGGGAAATGCATTGGCCAGGACATATTAAACACGGGAGGCTGGGAGAACAAAGCGGGAGAGCAGGACGCTGTCCTAGGGTAGGAACGCCACCTCCTTCATTCTGTTTGATGTCGATAATGTTCTGTTTCACTGAGGTTACCAACTAATGAAAGATAATTACAAACCAGGCACCTGCCAGCCTCTGAGAATGAGGTAAGAAAGATGACCACAGTCTCAACCTCTAGGGAGAGTAGAACCTCCCAGAGAAAAAGCAATTGAAAGACGACACACCAATCTCACAGGTAGAATCTGGGAGGGGCATCCTGCCCAGATAAAGAAACATCTTATCCAGATATGGGGGGGCGGGGGGGGTAAGACCTAACCCAAAAGAGTAGACATTAAAGATGAGGTCACTGAATTCTGTGCTCCATCTGTATGTGTGTATAAGTGTATGTATGTTTTTGTAAATAACATTGTCACTGGCCAGTGGTGGTGCATGCCTCTAATCCCAGGACTCAGTAGGGAGAGGCAGGTAGATCTCTATGAGTTCAAGACCAGCCTGGCCTACAGAGCAAGTTCCAACTACACAGACAAACTGTGCCTCAAAAAAAGAAAAAGAAAGAAAGAAAGAAAGAAAGAAAGAAAGAAAGAAAGAAAGGAAGGAAGGAAGGAAGGAAGGAAGGAAGGAAGGAAGGAAGAAAGAAAGAAAGAAAGAAAGAAAGAAAGAAAGAAAGAAAGAAAAATTGTTGTTAGCCTGCCCCAAAAGGACATTTGTCTCAGCGTTATCCTGGCTGCTCTCTTCCCAGTGACCTGGCCATATGGCTGATTTAGAAGAGCTCTCTCATCTTCAAACCACTGAAATAAATGTAGCTTCACATTGACTTCAATTTACAGAGCGTAGACAAGGAAGAAAACATGCTTGGACTACTTCTCATTGATATGTGGTTTTATTTATTTTCCCCTTCTTGCAATCAGCATCTATAAAAAGAAGTTTAATTAATTGCAATTTTCATCTTTATTTTATTTATTTGGTTTTTCAAGGCAGGGTTTCTCTGTAGGTAGGAGCCTATCCAGGAACTAGCTCTTGTAGATCAGGCTGGCCTCAAACTCACAGAGATCCACCTGCCTCTGCCTCCTGAGTGCTGGAATTAAAGGCATGTGCTACCACCACTCAGCAATTTTCATTTTTAAAAGCCATGATTATGAAAGCAAATATTCACATGATTTTGTTTAAAGACTGTACACTGGGAAGGCAACACAGCAGGTAAAGTACATGCTGTGCAAGGACAAGGACCGACGTGGAATCTCCAGCCACATGGGGAAGCCCAGCTTGTCCACACAGACCTATAACACCAGTCCTGTGAGAGGCAGAGGCTTCTGGGGCTTGCTGGCAACCCACTTAGCTCCAGGTTCAGTGACGGAGCCTGTCTCAAAGCAATCAAGTGGACAGTGAGAGCAGAATACTTTTGTCTTCCATATGCTCACAGTCTTATGGACCTGCACATATAAACATGTGATACCCTGCTCTCCTATGTTACATATACTTTACACATACACACAGACACTTTTGATACATACTCACACTTGCACACACACAAACACACAGACACACACACACACTAAACCTATACAATGTATCCGAAGATCAGATGTAAACTATTTTGTAGCAGGTACATTTACAAAGCATGAGGACATGGTTCCGAGTGAAAATTCTCTGTCACGTGTGCACTAAAGGATCTGTGAGTCTTCTCCATTGGGACATACGCAATTGAGAGTTGACTGCAGATTTCATGACTATGCTCTTGGAGTGATCAAGTCATCTAAACATTGCTTTGGAAAACTTAACGGGTGCTTTTTAAAATATTTGCAATAGCATTAAAGACACAGATGGGAAGTTTTATTATGATTCAGAAATATTAGCCTTCCAGATCACAGCTACAAGTGGAATGTGCTGAAGCGAAGAAGGGAAGAGGAGGACAGAGAGCTCATTCTCTCCACAATCAGCGGGAGCCACAGTTTCTCCTCTGCTCCTCCTGCAATGCTTTGCCAAGGAAAACTGGCCTATCCTTCAAAGTTGTGATTTACATCAGAGAATTTATACTACCCAGAGTCACTTTGTGTCCCACCTAGCAAAAAATGACCTCCAACAGTCAATGAAAGCAGTTACCTGTGCAATCTTCTCAGCGTCTGCAAGTAAGAAGATGACCCCAAAATACTCTCCCCAAATCCTTATCTAATTTTTTTTACTTCCACAATAAATGTTCAATAAAGAGAGTCTGTTTCTCTTATTAAATTCTCCTCAAAGCAGAAGACTGACTAATCTTCCCCAAGATATGAAATTGGTTGGGTCTGATAATCAGTCATGAGAGAAAACTCCTTAATTTTTTTATCATTTGAAAACTGGTTCATTCTACCTGGAACGACTGACAATCCTAACAACAACAACCCCTTTATTTCTTCCACTCGCTATAAAAAGCCTTGGGTGAAATGTTACATGATTGTCTTGTTTTTGTCATAGCCTCTTTTTGTGTTTCAAGCATGTAATGAAATCATTGTTCAAAGAAATGTCAGGAACATAATCTTTTGAGGGAAAGAGTCTTGCCTCTGGACCATTTTGTGTAGATATGCATAGAGTAAGGGCTTTTAAAAGCTAATTAAAAATAAAATTGCTGTGAGGAATTCAAAATTGTGATAGTCTTCAGGAATATCGAAGGGGGGTGTTTTCAAGGAAAAAATATATTTGTGCCCCCAAACACGCCATAGGCCAAATTGTTCCCTGTGTGAGGTAATTACCATGAGCCAGGCCTTTGCCTAAGACTCATCTTGAACTTCCTTCATGTAACTTCCTTCAACAAATCTAGGCAGAGCAAATGACTCCCTTCTGATAGCTAGGTACAGGCTGTGCTGGAGATAAGATATTCCCAGGACATGGCCACTGTTTGCCCAGCCCAGGAAGTGAGGGAGGATACCACAGTAACCCAGTTAGGCAGAGAAACTGTCCTTGGAACAATATGACCAGGTAAGAAGATACATGCTGTCTCTGTGGTTCTATGTGTAGCCTACATCCTTCTATCAGACCAGTTTATTTGATTCGGATCACCCTCGACAATCCTCCCCTCGTGTGTGTGTGTGGGGGGGGGGTATGCATATATGTATGTGGTGTGTGTGTATATGTGTGTATATATGTATATATACATGTGGTGTGGGGTGGTGTGGGTGTGTGGTGTATGTATGTGTTTGTGTGTGTATATGTGTGTATATATGTGTATATGCATGTGGTGTGGGTGTGTTGTGGGTGTGTGGTGTATGTATGTGTGTGTGTGGTGTGTATGTACGTGTACGTATGTGCGTGCGTGTGGGTGTGTGTAAACTAGAGATCTACATTGGGTGTCCTCTTCTACTGCTCTCCACCTTATATTTTGATACAGGCTCGCTCTCTCTCTCTCTCTCTCTCTCTCTCTCTCTCTCTCTCTCTCATTGAACCTGTAGCTTACTGTTTGACTAGTCTGGATGTGGTGATATTTTATTTGTGCTTTAACAAATAAAGCTTGCCTGGAGGTCAGAGTGCGGAGCTAGCCACTAGTTAGCCACAGAGGCCAAGCAGTGGTGGCTCACACCTTTAATCCCAGCACTAGGGAGGTGGAGACAGGAAGTGATATGACTAGGTGTAGAGAGGAATATAAGGCAGGAGGAGACAGGAGCTCAGGATTCAGTCTGAGCCTCCCTAGAGAGAGCATTCAGACTGAGGACGTGTAGAGACAACATACCCCATTCGGTCTGAGGTGAGAATTAGAGAATATCTGCTCTGCTTTTCTGATCTTTCAGTTTTTACTCCTTAATATCTGACTCTGGGTTTTTACTATTAAGCCCAGTTGGAATTCCCGCTACATCACCAGTTGACTAGACTGGATAACCAGTGAGCTCCTGGGCTGCCTCTTCACCCACCTCCCCCTTAAACACCCCACCCTGCCCAGCACAAAGGTTGCAAATACACACCACCACACCTGACTTTTATGTGGGTCCTGGGGATTCGAAGTCCCATGCTAGAAACTGAACTCATGTTCTCAGGAAGACAGTACTGGATTTCTAACCAGTAGCCAACTCTCCAGTCCTATCTTTCCAGATTTTCTAACATGCTTCTTAAAAATTTATATTATTGGGGGACACTGACTCGGCCCCTGGTTCTAACTCTGGGCACTTCAAAACAAGCCAAATAAACCTCTGATTTGTTTAATAAATGATGCTATAATAAATGATGCTATAATAATTATAGTTATTTATAATAAATAAATAATGAGGAAATTATAGGTGATATCTTCACTATAGATGAGTCACTTGACTAACAAACGGCAGAGGCTAGCAGACTGCCGGGAAGTTAACTGGTTTGATGTTGGCTGCTGTGCCTGGCATGTGCTTTCTCTGTAAGCACTTCATACTCGGGATACCAAGCATGGCCACTCTGATTTTCTGCCCAGCAGTCAGGCTACGCCCTGACTCATTCCCAGCCTCTCATCTCGCTCCACTGACAGAGTTTGTGTGGGTTACAGATTCTCTCTGTGGGCCTGGAGCTAAAGAGCTCTGACTACGTGCATCTGACTGTATGGAAATGAGAACCCTGACCTTGGGCTCCTTAGCACTCTTCCCAACAGCTAAGCAATTCAGCAGTCCAGCACATCCCACGGTGACCTAAAACCATGCTGACTTGATAGTAGTAGTAAGAACACAAAAGGCCGTTCTGCTCTGTGCATGTCTCGTGACTTGAGGGAAGGCCTTAAGTTCATATTCCCAACATTACAGCTGCCCTGCACTTCCCTTCTATGGCTCAAACAAACACAAAGGTTGAAGATGTGACTTTTACATTATCAATAGGGATTTATAAAAAATATCACAATATTTAATTTCATCCAAAAGGCAAAATATATTTCAATATAAGTCCTTAGCCCTTGGATCTTACAGTGTTGTACAAACACCCTCCGTGAACTTACCCAGAACGTACCCCACGACGATCCCTCCAAACCAGCCTGACGTTCGAACTGGGAGGTTCGATAGATCTGCTTATTCCTGCCAACCTTGGCACAGACACGTTTCTCTGCTGGAGCAGCAATCTCCAGAGTCTAATATCCACCCTCTCTAAGAACATTGCAGCCACTCACTTCCCAGTTTCCTGGAGGTTGTAAGCAAAGCAGGATAGGTCTCCATGACTTGGAAGAGAGGTTGGAGACCACGGTTCTTTTCCCAGGCTCAGTAGGTCTTCTCCCGTCTTTCTGCTTCTGCCACCTTCCTAAGCACAGCGTGGGACTGGGAGTTATGAAAGGAAAAATTAGCACATATGAAAAAAGCAAGAAAATATAAATCAGTTTCTCAATTCTGCAGACATGAGCCTGCCCTAACAGTACTAAAAGTATCAACCAAGGTTGGAGCTGAAGCTGTTACTGACCAACAGTGAGAGCTCAGGCAGGTTCCTGTGTGTGCTTCCTAAAGCTTTGCTTTCCTTCTCTGTAAAACAAGACTAGGTTTCAGCACACTGCTTTACTATTTTGAGAGCTGAAGAGTCTAGGAAGTAACTTGTACCTTTTCTGCAATCTCATTTCCATTTGTTGATTCATCTACTTATCCTATAATCCTTAAAATGTATAACAGTATTTTATAATGAGCAAAAAATAAGTTGCATAATGTGGTCTTGTTTAATATGCTCTGGGCACATGCACGCACGTGCACACACACACACAAACACACGTACATGCTTACACAAGCATGTCTACATGTGGAGTCAGTGGTAACAGTCCAGTGTCTTCCTCTATCGGTTTCCACCTTTTTTTCTGAGACAGAGTCTCACTAAAACTGGAACTCACCAATTTAGACAGGCTGAGATCAGACTGGAGTCCTCCTGTTCCACCTCTTTAGAACTGGGATTACATGTGCATATCTGCACACCCAGGTTATGGGTGTTAGGTGTCAACTTAGGTCTTCATGCTTACAAGGCAAGCACACTACACACTGAGCCATCTCCCCAATCCATGTTGTACTTTTTAAATAGCAATCCAGGACTTATATCTATATACTTTTTAAAGTTTCTTCTATGCCTCTTTAGCCATTATCCACCACATAGATGCATGTTCTACTAATTATTTCATATTTTCCTATCGTCTCCACACCCTAATCCAAACTTCTAAATGATGACCCTGTACTCTGGAAGTTACTAACCTAAGTATTTTTCTACCCTATGTAAAAGAACTGTTCGCGATACCTTCCCGTCTTTGCTAAGGACTGTATCATTTCTCTTAACGCTGTCTAGTCTGAAGAGATAGTAGCATGAAAGACTGTAATGCTCCCATTTGACGAACTGTGGGTAACGTGTATATTCGATGCCTGGTTAAAAGGTTTTAACCCATGAAACCCCAGAGTCAGCATCTGGATGAAATTTCCAGGTTTCACTCTCTGGGATCTATTGGATGAAAAATGAAAACAAAACAAGAGGGAAAAAAAGACAAAAGACCTGTAGCTTCCCCTCGGGGCGAATCTGATTTATCTCTAGCCTAATTACTAGATGACATGATAGATGTCAGCTTATTGACCAAAGGACATTCTTTTAGAAAAGTTAGTCTCACAATTAACCTTTTAAACTAGACATTCTTGAAATAAAGCTGCAAGCTCCCACCTTCATTCAAAAATTAAAGCCCCCTTTGCAGGCATGCACTGTGACTTCAGGGGAAGGCTGGCCTGATAAAAGTCAATTAGACTTCATGGTAAGGGATATTAGTTAGCATTCTATGCCTTTCTACATCTCTGAAAAAAAAACAAAACAGTCTTAAAGATGCCACGTGATCAGGGTAAACTATGTGAGCCAGCTACGATGGTGTAGATCAGGTAGATCACGCGAGGAGCTGGGTCAGTGTAGGCTGGCAGCCGTAAATTACGTTCCTCAGTCTTGCCTTTTTTTTTCATTTGTTTATTTGTTTTTGGAGTGAGACAAGTTTTTCATGCAGTACAGACTGGCCTAAAACTCAGTACATAGCCAAAGATGACCTTGAACTTCTGACTCTCCTTTCTTCACCTCTCTAGTGCTGGGCATACACCACTATGCCCAGTTTAGGCAGTACTGGGAGTGGAACCCTGAGCCTCCTTCATGCTAACAAGTGCTCTACCACCTGACCCATACCCTAGCCCCTGACTTTGTCTTTCAAAAATACAGTGAGCTCTTCATTAAATCTGAATGAAGTAGCTCTAGTCACTACATAAATTGTTGAACGTTATTTTAGATGAGTAAGTTACTTCCTATGCTTTCTCATTTTCTTGACACAAGTTCCAAACCACTGACTGGAGAAATACATAATAATGAAAGTACGAATTTATTGTACAAAGAGTTTCAACTTGAGCTAAGTTTTGACTAATACCAGAAGACTCATATTAATAAAAGTATCATTTATTCATTTAATTCCACTGAGTTCAAGAGCTATGAGGTATCAAAGAATTTCACAAACTGCCACTTTTTTAGTGCTCTTTTAAAATGGTTGATGTAAATTGTAATTGGGGTGAAAATGAACTTAGAGAGGCACAAAGCATTACCCCCCTTTATTTTTATTATAAATGAATTCTAAGACAGCGTTAGTGATACAAGGCTACAGCATGATTATTGCAGATACTATAAGGCAGTAGTCTTTAGGATTAAAGTCTTTGGATTTTTGTTTTATGTCAATATGGTTTATTAGCATAAATAAATGGTCATACAGAGTGACTCTGTAGTAATGAGTCCCAGTAGTAACATCAGTCGATTCTCATAGGGCTTGGAAAAGTGGTCCCATAAGGAAAGTGCTTTCCTTGCAAAACAGAGAACTGAACTGAATCCACAGAATTCAATTCAATCCACAGAAAATGCCAGGTTTAGTAGGAATTGTTTGTAATCCCAGTATTGAGGAGGTGGAGACAGGAGGATTCTTGTGGCTCAATTCAGTCTAGCTGTATTGGTTTCAGGCTAATGAGAGGCTTATTTCAAAGACAATAGATGTTGTTCCTGAGGACAATGTTCAAGGCTGTCTTCTGGCCTTCAAATTGCATGCACACAAACACACAAATGAGCATAAAAGATACTTGTTTATGGAATGATCTTCTCTATTATGGAGGTACTCATGTGTGATGTTCTTTAAAATTGAGGTGAACAGGCATTTCTGTCTTGCACAGTCCTTTCTAGGAGGATTTTCCAGAAGTTATCACTCCATCCATGCCCACTCTCATGCACAGATCTGTTTCTACCTACCTCTTGTCATGGCTAATTGTTTTTCTGTGGTCATTCTGTTACTGTTTAGTAATGAACGGTGGGCTGCATTCCGCCACCCGGCTAGCTAGTTACCACGAAATAATTACACGGAAACTGTATTTTTTTAATCACTGTTTGGCCCATTAGTTCCAGCCTCTTATTGGCTATCTCTTACATATTGATCTAACCCATTTTTAATAATCTGTGTAGCCCACAAGGCTTACCAGGGAAGATCTTAACCTGTGTCTGTGTTAGGTGGGAGAATCATGGCGACTCCTGACTCAGCTTCTTTTTCTCAGCATTCTGTTCTGTTTGCTCCGCCTATCTAAATTCTACCCTATTAGAGGGCCAAGCAGTTTCTTTATTAATTAACCAATGAAAGCACAAATAGACAGATGACCCACCTCCATCATTTCCCCTTTTTCTATTTAAACAAAAAAGAAGGCTTTTATTTTAACATAGTACAATTACATATAGCAAAACAGTTATAAAGCACGAATTACAGTTACAATATTTATATCTATTTTATTTTTTATAACAATGGAAAACTACAACTATCTATCCATTCTTTAATTTTATCAAAGATGCCAGAAGGATATAATATTACCTAAGCAAACAAGAAATCCAAAACTCTAGAAATGACAGAGACATCTCGCTGCCTGGACAGTCACCCAAAGTTCTTTTGTCCTGTTGGGGCATCCCTCTTTAGCCTACAAGCCCATAGTATCCAGCAGACATTTCCATGAAGCAGGAAATTTTAAAGACAGTTTAGTCACTATCTGCTGTGTCCTGCAAAATGTCTCACAGACTCTTTCATGAATCAGGAACCCCGAAGGATCATCTCACCTTTAGGCAAGTTCAGCAGTCCTCTCTCTGTGGGTTCTTTGTGTCCAGTTTATGCAACAGTCCAGGCAAGAGCAGTTTCTTGCCCAAATGGCTATCAAACTCCATAAGCAGCCTCTTTGATGTCCATCTTCCTCTTGAAGTAGCTGGTGCTGTCAGGAGCAGACATGTCTCGCTGTCATGAAAAGCCCTAAGTTATTAAAACATTAAATGCCATATTCTGTACTCTTTGAAAGATATGAAGAATGCCTATCTGACATATATCTATGTACATCTAGAAAGTCTTACTAACATGACTACAAACAACTATTATCAATGATTATCCATTAACAACCTATATTTTCTAATTAAACACTACATTTTTAAATGAACTACACAATCACAATACCTCAGTCAAAAGCAGAAGCACATATACATATGACAAAATTGACCTTAAAATCCATACCAATGTAAATTATTTATACCTATATCATATCCCCCTTTAAATGTAAAAGAACATTTATAAACAATATTTGTGAACATGGGATAAAACGCTCTAGACAAAAGAAACTCAGGGGAGGAAAGGGTTTATTTAGCTTACTCTTACAAGTTATCATCCATCCTTGAGGGAAGCCAGGGCAGGAAATCAAGCAAGGACTAGAAAGCAGAAACCATGAAGGAATGACGCTTGTTGGCCTGCTCCCTGGGCTCTCTGGCTCACTCTCTTTCAGGCTCACACTTAATTAATTTTCTCATACAGCTCAGGACCACCAAATGGTGCTCCCCACAGCAAGCTGAGACCTCCTATATCAATTAAGATAAACCAGACAGACCTGGGTAGTTCCCCATTGAGGGTTTCCTGTCATGACTGTAGGCTGTATTAAGAAGGCAATAAAAGCTAACCAAGACAATTTTCAATGTCAACTGGCCTGGATTTAGAATCACCTAGGAGACACACTTTAGGATATGTGTGTGACATTATTTCCTAAGGAAGGAAAACCCACCCTGAATGTAAGCAGCTCCATTTAATACGTCAGGGCCCTAACAGACTTAATAAAAGGAGATCAAGAGGAAGGAGCTGAAGACTGACATTCACTGCTCTCTGAGTCCTGACTAAGGACACCATGTGGTCAGCTACCTACACTCCTGTATCTAAGCTGTCCACCATGATGGGCTGTATCCTCAAACTGAGAGCCAAGATCAGCCTTACTCCCACAAACCACTTCTTGTCCGGTGCTTTATAACAGCAACAAGGACAGTAAAGCCTCTTAGCAAGACCTGGAGGACTGGAAGCCAAGTGCAAAGGGAAGAATAACTTCCCAGTCTCCCTCTGCTCTGAGGACACCTGTGTGACACTCCCTTTCTGGAGCCACAGGTCACAGGGGTAATATTTCTCCTCCCATGGCCCAAGCTTAATTAATCATCAAGTCCTGAGGAGCCTGGGAGAAATCCTTCAGATTTATGTGTCTATTATATTATAAGTTACTCTCAAGAATAATATTTTAAATACCCTGAACAGAGTTCTAACTCTAGACAAGATAAAGTAATAATAGCTGAACATACCCTACCTCCTGGGGAAAAAAATCCAATAAATGGCTGAGGAAACTGCTCAGCTGGTACAGGCAATTCTGCCAAGGCTGATGACCCGAATCTGTTTGTTGGAACTCACTTGGTGAAAGGAGAGCTGACTCCCACAAGCTGTCCTCTGACCTCCACATGCTCACTGTGGCATGCATATAATCACCCCCTCTCCAAAAGTCCACACACAGAATAACTTTTAAACTATTTTTAATAAGATTTGGGGCACTTAGGGCAAAGGAGCAGAAAGCAAAGTACTGCAGCTTTAAAGGTCTTCAGAGGGCAGCCCTGTAGCTCAGCTGAAAAACTTACTCCCTCAAGCATGTGAGAAAGCTACCTAAAGCCAGATAGAAAACAAAGGTATCTGACAAGTAAGGTTAATCAGCATCTTTCTTTATTAAGAGGTCTATGTAGAAAATATAACAGAAGCTGCACAAACAGTGCAAGCAATTATAAGTGAGTTTGAGAAGATTTCAGGTTGTAAAATCAATTTGCAAAATCCAATAGTGTCTCTAGTAACAAAATCAGAAACTGAAATAATCTTGGAAAGATTGGCAGTGACAGATGCACAAATGTAGAAGAAGATGCATCACACCTCCACATGGGATCTACAGGGTGTGCTGGGAGGAAGGAAGAAATGATGGATCATGTTCATGAGTCAGAGAAGCTTGCAGAAATCAATAGCAAGAAACAAAAGAGTCAACTGGCCAGACAGTGTTAGCGCATGCCTTTAATCCAAGCTTTCAGCAGGCAGAGGCAGGCAGAACTCTGTGAGTTTAAGGCCAGCCTGGTCACAGAGGGAGTTCCAGGACAGCCAGGGCTGTTATAAGAACCAGTGTAGAAGGAGGCCACTTGTTGGTTCCTAACCACAAATCTGTTTTCTTTCTTTCTTTACCATAAGGTAAAGGAAAACATGGAATGTTTAGTTGGTCTTCCTTAATATGCACTGGCTACTTTTGTGTTCCTGACACATGAAGATGACCTAGAAAGCGATGCTCAGTATGAAATAAACACCCTTTCTCAGTGAGCAGGAACAAAAACCCTGCACCCCTCATCCAGCCAAATCAACTGAAGGCTCTTTGTAACTCTTCTAAGGAGACTTCTTTCCCCCTGGTTTCCTTTCATCCTAACAGTGGAGAAAACAATGGAATAAATTTTATGTTACAGTATAAGGCTCCATTTTCAGTCTCTGCCTCCAATTTGAAATGATAGTGGCTAAAGATTAAAGAAAGCAGGCCTATACCAGACATATTTCTGAGGAGTAGGATGCATTTATCTCCAAATAACACAAATTCTAAAAACAAACAGTTTGTTTGGCTACAAATTTCAGAGTATGGGTCTCAGGAGTATCTTAGAAATGTAAGTTGACAGTGAGTTGAAAGGACCATTCACTAACACAGGTGCAGAGCCGAGCCTGCCCACATTTGGTCTTTTATTTCCTCTACTATCTGAGTGTGTTCCCAGTCTCAGACTGTGACAATACTCCACCTCAAGCTGATATTTACAAACATGATGATTGAGATCCACAGTTCCCTAACAAGCATCATATCTTAGACCTGTGATTGAAGTAAACTAAGTAAATACAAAAGAATTAATATCTCACTGAGCTATAGTTAAAAATTATAAACACAAGGTTAGAGAGATGGTTCAGTGGGTAAGGAAACTTGCTATATAAACCTGAAGATCTGCATTTGTATCCCATAATCCACTTAAAGAAATAGCTGGTAAATGCTGTGGGAGATAGAGACAAGAGGTTTCCTGGAGCTTTCTGGCCACCAGTGAGTGCCAACTTCAATAGGAGACCATTTCAGGGAACAAAGTAGAGACTGATAAAGCAGGAACCGGATATCTTATTCTGGCCTTTTACTCACACGCACAGGTGCATGACACAAACACATATGCCCATACATCACACACACACACACATACTGGGACTAGGGATGTAACTCTGTTGATAAGTGCTTGTTTAGAAGGCATGGAGCCCTGGGTTTGATCTTCAGCATTGTGGCACATACATATAATCATGGAACTTGGGAAGTAGATAGAGGAGAATCGGTCAACTTGGTTACATGAAGAGTTCAAGCTCACCCTGGGCTACATGAAATGAGGAAAAAAAAAAAACAAGAAAGAAGGAAGGAAAGAAAGAAGAGAAGTAGGGAGGGAGGGAAAGATAGAGGGGGAAGGAGAAGAACAGTATAATGGTTGTCTTAAAACTCTTTAACTAAACATTGGTTCTACTCAGGCTAGGGACAAGTTGGGAGCATGAGTGATGAGGGGCACAAAATGAACTTTACCTTACAGCATCTATGAAACTGTGAAAATCTGCCTAGTGTAATGATTGCTATTGGAAATATGTACACTTGAAAAGAAAAAAAACGTAAAAGTTTAGTAATGGCTTTTCAGAATAAAACTATAATGAACCCATCTTGTCTGAATGCTCCAGGCTGACCTGTACAATAAACAAGGCTGTTGCTTAGCCCCTGGTCAGACTTTGGTAACTCTCTTTCAAGAACAGTTTTTATACCTATGTTTTGAAAACCTTTATCCAGGTAAAAGCAACAGTACCCATCTCTTTAAAATTAAGAAACAATGATAAAAAAAATTAAGTTCCAAATGCTGTTAACCACCGCTCAGTGTGAAAGCTGCCAGAGAAGTGTCCCAGTGTGGACAGCCCAGAGCGTTTCCTTGATTGTCTAAATGTTTAACCCTGGCAATTCCAGCAGAAATGACCTAAGGACATCTGCCAATGTGGGCACTATCTCCCCTTGTCATTGTGCTAAGTACAGATTCCTGCAATTAGTTCATTCATTCATTTGATTTGATATTTTGAGTCATAGAGACAAAGGGTCTCACTTTGTAGCCCAGGCTGGGCTATGAACTTGCCCCTCTTCTTGCCTCAGCCTCCCGGTGCTGAGATCACAGGCTAGTACCACCACACCCAGATCAACCCTTTCTCTTTCTCTCGTTTGAGCCTTGAAAAAAGCTTGAAAAGAGGCAGGTACTCTTGGCTGATGCTTCCATCCCACCCCACAGCTTCGGAAAATGAAGATCAAGGGAGTTTATGGCCTTCCCATTTGCAGGGATAGATAGTGAACCCTCAGCCTGGAGGTTACAGGACCCCCTGGAGCCCAGGCTTCTTTCTCTTATAAAACACAGTCTACTTGTAATGTAACAAGATGGCACTTCTTGACTGAAAAAGAGAAAAAGTCACTGGACTTACATGAGTACATTTCTTTAGTTTCCTCTCTTGTCACTCTGATTGCTGGCTCACAACTTCTGAAAATGTGAAAGGAGAGGAAATAAAGAATTTCCTCAAGCATATAACAATTGAACAAAATATAGATTTAAGAGTGTGCTTAGGCATTGCTTCACCCAACACAAAGGTACAAGGAGAGAATAAATGCTAACATTCTATTTAAAAAGGTGGCCATGGGAAAGAAAGACAATCCCAACAAAAGCAAGCTGGCTTCATTCAACTTTAACAGTAAGCTCAAGACCCTGAAGCCATAGATGCTTCAGGAAATAAAAAGTAGAAAAAATTTCTGAGAATCCGGCTTGTTCAGAAATTACATAAAGTTAAGAGCACTTGATGTCTGCTCTGTGAAGAGGGGGGAGAGGAGCAAGACAGACTGAAAAGGAGAGAAGAGGGAAGAGGAAGGAAGTGTGCCAAGAGAAGACAGGGGTAGAGGTTTTAGAGAGGAAAGAATAACGAAGGGGGGGCAGGGAAAAGAGAGAAAGAGGGAAGAAGAGAGGCTAGAAAGACGAATGGAGGGAGGAAAGAAGAGATTTAAGAGAACAATCAACTTGAAGCCCAGAAGAAAATTATTTGAGCTTGTTTAGTACAACCTAAATCAGTGCACGTGTGAACTTGAAGGCAGATTAGTCTCAATCTCCACCGGCACAGAACCAGTCTCTGGGCCGATGAGGAAAGAAGAGTCGGCACTACAGGAACGGAAACTGCATTTTTGAACAAGTACGTATTTATTGGGAGGAGGCAGCACACAGTGTGTGTATGTATGTGTGTGTGTGTGTGTGTGTGTGTGTGAGTGAGAGAGAGAGAGATGTACTCGTATGAATGTGTAATTTGTATGGCTGCAAGAACTGACTCCTACAAGTTGTCTTCTGACCTCTATGTAACAGCAACATAAATAAATAAAATGTTTTTCTTTTAAGGTTTAAAAACCACACTATTTGAAAAAAGAGAATATTCACAGGCAAATTCATGCTACGGAACTCGAGTTTCTTTTCTTGAACAACTGAGCTCAGGTTGGCAGGCTTGGCATCAAGTGTCTTTACCCTCTGAGCCATTTTGTTGGCCCTGTTTTGCTCCTTTAAAAAGTTAGCTCAGTTGGCTTGTGTGATTCTGGAGTAGGAGTTTCCACCATCTACACATGGTAAAGTGCAAACCCTCAAGAGCCAAGATGTTGCAGTACCACTTGGGTCTGAAGCACCAAGAGCCAGAGACTGATGATGATGGCCTTGTGACAAGGCAGCCAGGCTTGAGAACTGTCTTAGTTACTCGTTTTTGCAGTGCTGGGCATTGAACCCAGGATCGTGTGTGGTTAGGCAAGTAGTATACCAACTGAACTACATCCCCCTGCTTGATTCACTTTTCTGAGAGAAGCCAGCTAGCTAAGGAAGGAAGCTTATTCTGGCTCTTAGGCATGGAAAGAAGGTGATGTCAGGGGCAGGATGGCTGGGCTTTTCCCATTATGGTGGACCAGGAAGCAGAGAAAAAGATCTGGACAGCAGCTGGACTCTAACCTTCAACTGTTACCTGTTTCTGCAGTCAAGCCTCGGCTCCTATAAGTTCCACAGCCTCCCAACCGCACCATCAGCTGGGGATGAAGCACACAAACACGAGCCTGTGGAGACATTTCAGAGTCAAACTGTGCTACGGCTCAGTGAGAAGAGTACTCCATTTGTCAGTTTGTCTTTGAGGCCTGCAAAAGAACAAAGCTCAAGGCCCCATAACACCTTTGGACTCTGAGCTCTTTTCGCTTTCCTCTCCTTCCCACCTTCCTTGACCCAGGGTTTCATGTAACCTCTGTTTTACAGGCAGAGAGGACCTTCCACTGCTCCCGGCTGTTGTGCAGTTGGCTGTAGCCAGCACTGTGGCAGGTTATGGAGATTCAAGTCAGGGTTGCGTGCGCTAGACAAGCACTCTGTCAACTGAGCCATGTCTCCAATCCATGGCAAAATTTGTCCTCTGGACTCCACACACACACACACACATTTTCCTGGAGAATCCTGATTCATACATCTAAAATTTTTAAAAAAGTAAAAAGGTAAAGAAAAATAATCAAACTGACCTCATAGATCTCCATAAGCAACTAGCATACAATGGCTGAACCCTGAAGAAGCATCCACAACATTTTAATGAAAAGAAACTGTGACTCGGGAGCATTTAGTCAGACCATCATTCTAGTATGGTGAGAACCATGGATCTTTCCAAAATAAAGGAACCAGAGAACAGTGGCAATGTGATCCTCTGGGGAAAACAGGCAGTGAAACCTAAGCAAACAAGAGAGAAGGCAAGTTAGGATGGAAGAAGCTGTGCACAGAGGCCAGCAGGAGGCCTGTGAGCACAAGGAGATGACACTAACATGGCAAAAAATACAATTATAGGAAGTAAACACATTAATACGGGCGATTTGAACAGAATAATGCCATAGCTCAGCTGGTGAGACCCCAGCACTGGGAGGAAAGGCAGGAGAATAAGAAGGCCAATGTCAGCCTCGACTATGTAGAGAGCTTAAGACAAATCTGGGTACATGAAACCCTGATTCAGAAGAAAAGAAAGAATCGGGGGAGGGAGCACTAGTTTGGATCTTAAATGGCCCCAGAGTTCTATTTGCTAAGGCTGGGTCCTCTTCTTAGCTCTACTGGAAAGGGTAGCACATTTAAAGGCGGAACCTCAGTGGAGGTCTTCTGGTCATGTCGTCATCCCTGGTAAAAGAGTCTGGAACTCCAACACCTTCCTCTTTCTGCTTTTGCTTCTGGTTCTTGAGGTGACTGCCCCAAAAGCCTAAAGCACTGTGGCAGCCTGATCACATGGGACAGCCTCCAAAAGTATGATTCAAAATAAACCTGATCCCAGACATTGGTCACAGCAAGTTGAAGCTAAAGCAAGAACATAACTCAGGACAAATGAGAGAGGAGAAGGGAACTTGCCAGTGTCCTCATTTTGTCCTAAGGGGAATACCGCTAAGACATTTGTCACAGTCTCTTATATAACCTTGGAGAAACTGCTGTAGAAAGTGCTTCTGGGGGCTGGAGAGATGGCCCACTTGTTAGAGCACTGGTTTCTCTTGCAAAGGACCTGGGTTTAACTCCCAGCACCCACACGGCAGCTCACAACTGTCTGTAACTCCAGTTCCAGGGGATCTGACACCCTCATACAGATGTATATGCAAGCAAAACACCCAATAGACATTAAAAAAAATAAATAAATAATCATTAAAAAAATTTTAAAAAAAGAAAAGAAAGTGCTTCTAATGGAAAAATTGCTGTAGCTTTTCATGGTATCTATACATATATATGGGTGATGAGATATTTTGACATATATAGTTGCTAATGATCAAGTCAGTGTAATTAGAATATCCATGAATCAAGAGATAAAAAGTTTTTGAAGTTCATTTCCTTTACTTGCATTTCATCCGATTTTTCTTCTTTAAATTCAAATAGTTTTGTAATTGTTGTTTTTATGTTTTTATTTTTCCCCCTTTTGAGATAGGGTTTGATAAAGCCCTAACAATGGCCTTGAACTTTTGATCTTCCTGCCTCCACCTTCAGAGGCTAGGATTATGTGCACCACCTCATGCCTTCTCTGCAGTGTTGAAGATCAGACCCAGGACTTGGTGAATGCTAGGCAAGTACTCTGTTAATGCAACATGATGCCATTTTTTATACACTCAATCTACTTAAATGTCTACGTGGAAAGACAGAAGTCCATTTAGCTTTAACTTCATCAACTTCTTGTGATGTCATTCTAAATAAATAATAAATCAAATTTATTTTCACATTTTTACTTGACTAAAGAGTTTGAGTTACTTTTTAAAATATCAGAGGAGGGCTGGCAAGATGGTTCATTGGAGAACAGTGCTACCTGCTAGCTCTAGCTCATCTATACCAGTCCAGGTGGTAATTGTGGAGGGACACAGTGACTTCTGTAAAATGTCCTCTATCTCTGCTCAGGTGTTGCAGCCAAAGGAGCCCATACACATATGCTAAATACATAAATGTGAAACAAAATAAAACAGCTAGGCAGTTTTTAAATGGAAATAGCAGTTTTCTTTTTTCCTTTGTGGTCTTTAGTTATCCTATTGTGAGTTTCCTCAAGCAGTCTCCATCTTAGAATACACTAGAAGTTTGTCTGAAAGATACCAGCCGCAGGGGAAATGTAACGCATGCTCTTTTCTTGTTTGGTTAAAATACATTTCAAATTCTAAATATAGCAATCTCTTCCCTAGCTAGCTTCATGCCATTTAAAATTTGACACAGTACTTACCAAAGATGACTCAAAATTCAGTCATTCTATTCCCCAAACTCTCAATTTCCTCACAGAGCTGCAGAATCTTTGCAAGGAAGAAAAGGGGACCCTTCACCCACTCCCACTCCACAGTGAACCAGGGTAAATGGCACAGACACTGTTGTCCAGAAGGCAGAGTTCCTGCATGCCCTTCTGAGGGGCTGGAGAGGTGGCTCATGCTGTGCACGCATGAAAACCTGAGTTCAAATCCCCAGAATCCTAGTGAAACCTGGGTATGGCTCCTCCTGGCTATAACCTCAGCTTTGCGGGGCAGAGGCAGGCAGATTCTGCGAGTTCATTGATCAGCAGATGTCATCTAAATGGCAAACTTCTGGGTTCAGTGATAGACAATTTCTCAAAGCAACTGAAACCAATAGTTGAAGACACTGAACACTCTGCTCTGGCCTCTACGAGTGTAACAGTGCATATACCCACACATTCGCATGTATGTAAAACACATACACACACATCACACATGAGAGAGACCTCTGCTTTTTGCTGATTCTCAAGGAAAAGGAATAAGATCACTGAATGTGACACATATTAACATTTAAATAGGATATATATATACATATATATATATGTTGGCACAGATTAAGTCTTTAGGAATCCATAGATAATTGCATTTTTTAAAATAATTACAGACATTACTCAATAACAATGCAATCATATCCTGGTAAGTCCATCACAAGATAAAAATATCACTTAATATCCATCACCTACTGAACAAACCAGCTAAGCTAAGCAACCATGCTGGGGAATGTTGATTGTTCACCTTTGTGACAGGCTGACCATGAGTTAAGCATGGTGCCACTGCCCACTGTGAGTAAACTTCCCCAGGAAGAATATCAAAACCCAGCAATCTTAAAACAAAACAAAAAAAAAATCACTAAATTCAACCTCCTTAAGCTGCCAACATAAAATAATTTTATTAGTTGGAATGAAATGAAATCAAATTGGAGAATATTCTAGAAATCTCTCCAAAGTCTGCTTTTCCCAATTTTAAGCATCTAAACTTGTTTTTGTTGGTGGTGGTGTTTGGTTTTTAGTTTATTTAGTTTAGTTTGGTTTAGTTTGGTTATTAGTTTACCTAGCCCAAGATGACCTCAAAATAGTCGCTAAGGAGAACCATGAATACTTGATCTGCCTGCCTCTACATCAGATCCCAAAAATATATTAACACTTGTTGTGAGATATTTGTACACAGTGTGAAGATGTTTTACTGTGATTGGTGTAATAAAAAGCTGAACGACCAATAGCTAGGCAGGAAAGTGAGGTGGGACTTTTGGGCAGAGAGAGAACTCTGGAAAAAAGAAAGGTGGAGTTTAGGGCAGCCAGCCAGATGCACAGGGAACAGCACATGTACAAAATAAGGTAACACTGGCCAGGTCCATACCCTGGATTCCCAGAAAACGACAGCAAATCATGTTAGCCCAGTGCTTATAAAGCTACCATATGGGGCTGCATACTTTCTGCTTCTGTCCCATTCAGGGCAAGCATACATTCCGACAAACGTCCTGCCTACGTTCCTTACACTGTACCTATGATCAACCACATCCTGTGCAGTTGGGGCAACCAGCTTGGTTCATAAGCGTGTAAACACATGGCTTGTTATCTTACATGAACAATAACCCCAGCATTTCAGGAAGTTATTGGCCCTTGAGCAAGTGGGGCTTATAGGTTAGAGGCATTTTTGTTTTACATATCTCTTAAGCACAGTAATTTAATCTTAAAACCTAACTTCAGCCTTAACACTGGAGTATATCCTTTACCAAGCTGTAAGAGCAATGAGGTTGTTTGATTTCCCAGAACCAGGTGAGCACGATAGTGTCCAGCTTTCTCTGGCAAATGAATGACCAGTATAAAAGCCCACTCAACCGCTGCTGAACTTGGGTCCTTGAAGGTGCTGACGACTGGGCTCATCAGATCTCAGAACTGAGCACACTCCTCATCCTCCCTCAAGGGAGGGACTTGTAGGACACACAGTTATTCAAAGAGGATTATTTCTTTAAATGTCTTAGGCTTACCTGCTGTAGGAGGAGAGTGAACAGCAAGCACCTTTGCAAAGATTGGCAACTGAGAAAACACCAGGTTCTGCAATAGGGCCAAGTTCAGTCTCTATGGTGGCAGAGTTCACCTCAGAGTCATCAGAGGCTCGGGATATTCTCTAGGGAGGAAGACTGGTCCTGTGTTAGCACAGAGGCAGAAAGTAGATCCGTGGGTGCCAGGTTGACTGTCTCCACCTCCGCTGGGTTTATTTTTTTCTGTCATTTTAAGAAGACGCTGATGGAAGGAACTGACACACTCTGTATCAAGCCATAAGGTGCCCTGCCAAAAACTCCATGTCAAAAGCTGGTGGTGAGGGCAGAGAGATGTATCTCCATTGGTAAAGCGCTTGTCTAATACTCACAAAGACCCAGGCTCAATCCCCAGTACTGCACAAATGTGGTGCAGTGGCACACATCTGCCATTCCAGCACTTGGGAGGTAGAAGCTCAAGGTCATCCTAAGATATATAGAAACTTCAAAGGCAACCTAGATGACTTGAAACCTTGTTTTAAAGGGTGTGGGCAATTGAATAAAAAATAGCTATTGATATTTGGGCATTTGATTTTTGTTGTTGTATTTTTTTTGTGCATACAACTCTGCATAGCAATGATCTCCATGATTTCAGAACTCATGATGGAGTTCTGAAACTCTACATTATGGTTGAGTGTAGAAAGAGTTTCCAAATTAGTCAACAGAGCCTTCTAGAGATGGAGTTGGAAAAATATATTCTAAGGAAGTATTGCATGCAATTATGGAGGCATTGTCAGCATCAGTCTTCAGCAACACCTTTGACTGACTAGATGGTTCTCATCACACCATAGAAAGTAATCTTGTTGTATTCCAAATCCACTAGTTTCTATGTTACTCTCACCCAAAGATGCTGTTACAGAAACATCTAAAATAATGTTTGATTGAATATCTAGCACCATAGCCCAGCCAAGTTGAGATATATAACTCCTGCAGTCTCTAACCCAATTAACCACAAAGGGGGGATTTTCTCTTTCTCTTACACATCTTGTTGTTAGTCTAGACTCATTACACCAGAAACGAATTTTGGCTTTCTGTGAAAGCAGAGGGCTTGAGGAGACGAGTACAGGCAAAGTTCCCTTAACATGGTTGAAATATGCCTTTGAATAATAGTATGGAAAGTAATGAGAAATGAGAAAATTCAAACATCACAAGTCACCAGGCCCCTAATGAACACAGAGGTAGAGAAGAGTGTAAGCAACCCTCTCTCCCATTCTCTGTTGTCAGCATTTGCGATCCAGTGGCATCTCAGTTCTTCCTGGATCTCTCTCACTAGCCAGTGCTTCCTGGAAGTCTACTAAACAAAACAAAGCATTCGGGTTTGGAGTGTCTGACCAATAAATGCCATTTTTACATAGGTTGGTTAATAGTGGGTTTCTAACACCTGAGAAAAGAAGGGAGGAGGAGGGAGGCAAATCCAGAAATCATGTAATATGACTCTTCAACGTTCAGATTGTGTGCAGAGAATTAAATAGTATTATTAGTATAGAACTTCTTTGTTGTTTATAAAATGGAGTTCATAGATATGATTCTCCTGGTGTCTTTAACTGGGAATAAAAATGTCTCCTTAAAGACTAACAGGTTTGCCACGTGTTATCATTGCCTTACTTAAAGAAAATATTCCAAGACTGAGTCTCATGAAGCACAGGCTGGCCTCAAACTAGACTTTGCAGCCAAGCATAACCTTAAACTCATGCTCTTCCTGCTTCTGCCTTACAAGTATTAGAATTGCAGGCACACTACACCACTTTCTACAAGGCTGGAACTGAAGCCAGTGTGGCATGCCTACTAGACAAACACTCGACCAAGTTACCTTTCCAGCCTGACTGTTTCAAGCTTTTAACAATTCATTATACCCTGTCTCAGAACACACACACACAACAAAAAGACTGTTGGGGGATAGAGAGGTGGCTTGGTGGGTAATGTTTGCAGGACAAGCAAGGGAACTTGAGTTTGAACCCCAGCACCTACAGTGCTCAGTGGCAATGCAACTGTAACCCCAGTGCTGGAGATTTCGGACAGGAGGATCACTGGGGATTGTTGGCCAGCTGGTCTAGGCTGATTGGTGAATCCAGATTTAGTGAAAGACACTGTGTCAAAAATAAGGTGAAAAATGAGAAAGATGCCCACAAGATTTGGCTTACAAACACACACCTATATATACCAGTGAGAGGGAGAGAGAGGAGAGAGAGAGAGAGAGAGAGAGAGAGAGAGAGAGAGAGAGAGAGAGAGAGTAATGCCTTGATAGAAAATGAATCCTACAGTAAGAAGATGTCCCACCCAAGTCACACTCGAGCTACATGTGAGCCTGGTACCATGCTGGGCAGTAAGCCACAGAGATGGGTATTTGGTCCTCCTGTCTGTAAGAACTGGCAATGCAGAGGCCATCACTCTGAATTCTTCCCTGCTGATCATGAAGGCTGTTCTGTGCCCACAGTAACCTTTCCCCCACTTCCTCTTTCATTTTCTGTTCCTTAACCTCTCTTTTGCCACCTCCTCCACCAGCTTTCTTTATTTCCTCTTCTCTGCTCATAATTTAAATGTGAGCATTATCAGCTGGGGATTGCTGGGTCCAAGTTTGCCATAGCTTTATGAAAGAGGAAAGAGTTTTGTTTCTTTAAATTTCATGCCTTAAGGTCTAAGTGGCTGCAGACACAAAAGTAACGTAAAGAAAAGAACATCCATTTTTCTGGTTTTTTTTTTCCCACTGTTCTAATAACTGGCCTGGATACTGGTATCTGAAGAGAACACTGACACCACAGAACTGTGATGACTTTGTGCTCTAGCAGTTGAGGAACACCTTTTCAAATCAACTCATTAGGGACAAAAAAAAAAAATATGCAAAGACATAGGACCCACAAAACAGACCCTAAACCACTTCTTCCATTTTGTGCCTGTTCTTTGAGACTGAGGTTCCCCCTTCCCGCCTAAAGAGAAAGACAAGCTCTGTGCTGGCATTGTGCCTCCAAGCAGCTCTGCCATCATGTTAATCTGATAAACCCAAGTTTAAGAAAACTCAAAATTCCTTCCAAAAGTGCTTCCAGCATGATCCCAAGGAGAAAGGGCTTTGGTCTGACCGCATCTAGCTAGGTAGCACAGGCTGAGCTGGTACTCACTATGGAACCCAGAATGGCCTGCAACTCTTGACAATCCTCCTATCTTAGTCTAGAATGCTGGCATTACAGTCATGAGCCAGCACATCTAGTTTCTATAGTAGCCCTACCCCCCCATGTGCACCTGTATGTGTAGTCACACTGAGGCCACAGAGGCCACAGTTGGACATTAATATGTCTTCTTCGTTTGACTCTCCACTTTGTTGGGTTTCTGGTTTGTTTGTTTTTGAGACACTCTGTCACTGAACCTGAAGCCTGACATTTTGCCTAGACTGACAAGTGAGCTCCAAGGATCCACTCATCTCTGCCCCACCCCACCCTTATCATGGGATTATAGGCATGAACCACTTGGGTCCTTGTGAGAACCTCACCTGCTGGGCCATCTCTCCAGGATAATCTAGTTCTTTGTTTCCCACTTCTGCCTTTCCCCACTCAGTTTGTGAAGTAAAGACACCTCCAGAAAGAAGAGAAAAGAGACAGGAACATTCTTTCGTTTGTTTGTTTGGTTGGTTTGGTTTTGCTTTGGTTTGGTTTTTCTAGGCAGGGTTTCTCTGTGTAATCTTGGCTTTCCTGGAACTTGCTCTGTAGACCAGGTTGTTCTTGAACTCACAGAGATCTGTCTACCTCTGCCTCCTGAGTTCTGAGATTAAAGGTGTGCACCACCACTGCCCAATAAGACAGGAAAATTCTTACCAACAGGTATCAATGACCCTGCTGTGACTGATTTACCCTTCTCTCTTGAGGTCTACATTTGGGTTTCTGCAAGACCCCTCACTTCTGTGGAGTTCTGTCTACCATTCTGAGGAAGTTTGTAAATTAATATGTTCAAACAGATGATGAAGACCTTTATAAATGTTGACTTCCAGCCTTTTTCTCCAGATGCCTTTTTAATATTTTAGCTAGTCAGAGGTCAAACCCAACAGAACCAGCTTCTTCCCCTCCTAGGATAGACTGGGCTGGAAGCATGCCTCTCTGCTATAGGCAACCCAGGCAGCCACTTCCTGGAACACAGTTCTGCACTGCATGTAAGCAGCTTATGTCTGAGTGCTAAGTTCTGAACTTCTTAATTAGCTGTCCTCCAACTTGAGGGACCTATGTCAAGGTCTCAAGAGACTTTCCTGAAGTGTTTCTCCCTTCCCCCTCCACCATATGGAGCCTTAACAGCACAGCAGCAATGTTCTGAGGTCTCAGCCTCTCCAGCTGTAATCCCTTTCTGTTCCAAATGATGAAGGGTAAAGGTTACATAACTAGCTTTCAACATCTTCTGCTTGGTTCTGCTCAGTGGATTCTTTCCCTAAAAATATTTTTTGAGTTCATTTTTGCAACATACGAACTAAGGTGCTATTTGTAGACCAACTTTGAATTTCAAAAACAACAGTTCAGAATGGTTGCTGGGGCAGATGTCAGCCTCCAACTCCAGAAAGCAGGCCTTTGGCATACCTGAGCAGAGATCTTATCTGACATCTCTAGCACTGTGCAAGTATGTGCTCCCAAAAAGGAAGAGCTTGGGGATACTAATGAACTAAGAGACTCAAAATCATATGGACAGCTAAATGACCTTATCACCCACCCTCCGTGTCCATTCCTATATAGTCATGGCCTCCAAGTCTTAGCCAGATCCTGTGACTCATAGAGAAAAGCAAGTTGAGCAAGCCCTATGACTTCAATTCCTGGATTAGAGTCTGCAACTACATCTTTTGTCCTCTGAGCACCTTGGTTCACTACCTGTTAGATGACAGCACCGTGAAGAACAAATTAGTAATTTATAAGACAGTACCTTTGGCCTGTACAGTGGTGGCAGCGGCACATGCCTTTAATCCCAGTATCGAGGCCAAGACTGGTGGTTCTCTGAGTTTAACACCACAAGTCCCGGGATATCCAGGACTACACAGAGAAACCTATCTCAAGGAGAAAAAAAAATAGTATTCCATTGTTGTTGGATTTTTTTGAGACAGAAGCTTACACAGCCTAAACTGACC